CGACTCGATGGAGAGGGGGAGGAGGTCGGATGATCCGCCGATATCTCTAGATCTCACGTTCCACATGCTCCGACAGATGATGGAGATGTCCAGAGCTGAACAGTTACAGCAACAAGCCCATAGCAACAGAAAAATGATGGAGATCTTCGGGAAATGAAAACTACATCAATTCATCCGCCAAAGATTTGTTTTTACATTTAGCACAAAACACACAATATTCTGTACCATAGTTCTGCTTTTCCTTCTTTGTTTATAATTATTTATTTTATAGCTTTAACCTCCGACAATGGAGACTAAATGGGCTTGTAGGCTACCTGTAATTATGATTGTAGCCTATACCATGCAAGATAAACTATGTCCTATCAATTTCTATTAGGCTATTGTTGTTAAAGTGCTCAATCAAAACTGTAGAATATACACGATTCTGTCTCTCTTTAAGATAAGAACATATTTTTTGGGTAGATCTTATAGGCTTAGGAAATTACGTTTTATTGTATGTTATGTTACTTAAGTTTGTTAATAAACTTATGAGCAACCAGTACATTTTTGTTGTGCAAGAGAATGTCTTATATTTATATTTTTCAATAAAATCTGAAAAGTTGTTGGCACTTTTCTGTGGATATTTGTACATTCGACAGTTTATCGCCCATATAGTTAGTTAGCCATTTAAATCTAAATGTGGTTTTGTTTAAATACTGCACACAAACATTTCACTGACCTTAAGTGTCGGACAAAAAACCTAAACATGATTATCTGTATAGCCTACAGTTGTCCGTACAATAGAATAAAGTTTGAGGACGGAGCAAGTGTTTCTTTCAATCCTGCAGATGTCTAATTGCATTTGCGTTAAAAAACAGCTCTGTCCTTTTCAAACCAACGGCAATAGTTGCTATAACATGTGACATGCAGCGAGAAATAAGTAGAACAAGAAAGAAAGATTAGGTCTACTCTTAATCATAAAGATTAACAAAATGTGTTTTTCCTGTCATTTTAACTGATTTAGGATCAGCTCGCTGCCACAAGTTTGAAACACACACACACACACACACACACAACAGGATACAGAATTCAAAACAAAAAATATATATAGTAAAATTACTATTGTTATTGCATTTATATTAGGCTACTGATGATTGGTGCCACCAAATCGATCCAGACAAGTCGAATAGAAGTCAGAGAATCACTGGGAGCCCAATAACAAGCTGAGAGGAGTTTGTGAGATGACCATTGCCTCCTTACAATTCAAGCCTCATCTACCTAGCTGCTTCAAAGCACTCCTCTATGAAGGAGTAGCACTCACTACACAGTCCAAGTCACTGCTTCCTTAGTGACAAGACAACAAAAACACAGAAACTTGCTCCATGGCAACACATGAGCTCTTTCTTGTGTGAGATGACTGGCATGTGTGTGTGTGCCCTGATCCTTGACCTGTAGGGTCAACATAAACAAAACAATTGATGTGTCTGTGAGTCATTCGGCTTATTGTCTGCCCTACATAGCAACAGGGGGCTCATTACAGTGCGGATCCTAAGTTGTAAAGGTTGCAGTGAACCATGCTGTAGTGAACCATGCTGTAAAACAGTGATTGATAAGAGAATTAAATGATGGATCTGGAGTCCCGTGTAGCTCAGTTGGTAGAGCATGGCGCTTGCAACGGCAGCGTTGTGGGTTCGATTCCCACAGGGGACCAGTATGAAAAAAAAATGTATGTACTCACTAACTGTAAGTTGCTCTGGATAAGAGCGTCTGCTAAATGACTAAAATGTAAACAGTGAACCATGCTGTAAACAGTGAACCATGCTGTAAACAGTGATTGATAAGAGAAGTAAATGATGGATCTGGATCCGGTTTCAATACCTGCTGGTTGAATCACGTCCTCAAAGACAAGAGGAGGTCTGGCAGGCGAGGTCTGGGAGGGAAAGTCTGGGAAGGAAGTTATGCGGAGAGGTCTGGGAGGGGGTGCACTATGAATGGCTAGTAGATGAACAGTTGAAACAGCTTAATAAAACTGAAGAGATGACATGAAATATACTAAAGGAAAATAGTAAATAAGTTGTCTACCTGTGCAGTAAAACAATCCTAACACCACTCAAGGCATCCAGAGAAACTGAACTGAATAACCAGACTATCCCTCTTTCAGGTCTGATATCTGCATCTGATGGATCTCTACACAGATGAGTATGTGGACACGTTAAAGCACCACCACAAGATTCACCTCACACACGCACATGCCCTCCACTGGGCTGGAAGAAGGTATTTGGATTATGCAACAAGTTAGCTGAACTGAGGCAGTGAGATCTGTGAACTAACGCCTGTTTACTGCTAAGGAGGGGAGGTATAAGGGAAATACCTCATAGAGAAATGGTGCTGGAGGCCAACGGAAATGACTTTGGCCCACATGCCCTGAATAGTCTCTACTCTGCTGGAAGACAACGTCTCTGGAGGGAGTAAAAACAGTGGTGCATTCAGATTTTCTGCACAAAGGAAGAAGGACACTGGAACAAACAAGTTGTTTTATTTATGTAATGTAAACTGTGACAAAATGCAGGCAAAATATCTTCTTGAAAAGTGTTTTTATTTTTTATGAGAAAAGACTGCTTGCCGTCTCTTACAGTAATTGAAAAATCTAGCTATATATATATTAAACCTAGAGTGCCTTCAGAAAGTATTCACACCCGCTGACTTTTTCCACATTTTGTTGTTACAGCATGCATTTAAAATAGATTCAATTTAGATTTTGTGTCACTGGCCTACACACAATACACCATAATGTCAAAGTGGAATAATGTTTTTAGACATTATTGAAAAGCTGAAATGTCTTGAGTCAATAAGTATTCAACCCCTTTGTTACGGCAAGCCTATATAAGTCACATAATAAGTTGCATGGGCTCACTTTGTGTGAAAAAAAAGGATAAGTTCCAGTCTGCTTAATGGGGTGGCTTCTCCCCAAAAAAATTTTATCATGATTTTTGAATGACTACCTCATCTCTGTATTCCACACATACAATTATCTGTAAGGTCCCTAAGTCGAGAAGTGAATTTCAAACACAGATTCAACCACAAAGACCAGGGAGGTTTTCCAATGCCTCGCAATGGGCACCTATTGGTAGATGGGTAAAAAAACCCATTGAATATCCCTTTGAGCATGGTGAAGATATTAATTACACTTTGGATGGTGTATCAATACACCCAGTCACTACAAATATACAGGCGTCCTTCCTACCTCAGTTGCCGGAGAGGAAGGAAACTGCTCAGAGATTTCACCATGAGGCCAATGGTGACTTTAAAACAGTTACAGAGTTTAATGGCTGTGATAGGAGAAAACTGAGGATGGATCAACAACATTGTAGTTACTCCACAATACTAACCTAATTGACAGAGTGTAAAGAAGGAAGCCTATACAGAATAAAAATATTCCAAAACATGCATCCTGTTTGCAATAAGGTACTAAAGTAAAACTGCAAAAAATGTGGCAAAGAAATGTACTTTATGTCCTGAATAAAAAGCATTATGTTAGGGGCAAATCGAACACAAAACATCACTGAGTACCACTCTTCATATTTTCAAGCATGGGGGTGGCTGTATCATGTTATGGGTATGCTTGTCATCGGCAAGAACTAGGGAGTTTTTTTGGGGGGGATAAAAATAAACTGAATAGAGCTAAGCACAGGTAAAATCCTAAAGGAAAACCTGCTTCAGTCTGCTTTCCAACAGACACTGGGAGGAAAATTCACCTTTCAGCAGGACAATAACCTAAACACAAGGCCAAATATACACTGGAGTTGCTTACCAAGACAACATTGAATGTTCCTGAATGGCCTAGTTACAGTTTACTTTAAAATGGCTGTCTAGCAATGATCAACAAACAACTTGACAGAGCTTGAATCATTTTTTAAAGAATAATTAGCAAATATTGTACAATCCAGGTGTGGAAAGCTCTTAGAGACTTACCCAGAAAGACTCACATCTGCAGAGTTTGGTTTTTGCCAGGCATTACTGGAACCATCTCGTCCAATAAGTTATACTTTTGAATCATCTGTCCATAGAACGTTCTTCCAAGAGTCTTGATGATCATCCAGGTGCTTTTTGGCAAACTTGCGTCAACTTTTTGGACGAGATGGGTCCCATTATGCCTGGTGAAAACCAAACTCTGCATTCCACAGTAAGAACATCATACCAAATGTCAAGCATGGTGGTGGTGGTGTGATGGTTTGGGGATGCTTTGCTGCCTCAGGACCTGGAAGACTTGCCTTAATAGAAGGAGCCATGAATTCTGCTCTGTATCAGAGAATTCTACAGGAGGATGTCAGACCATCCGTCTGTGAGCTGAAGCTGAAGCGCAGCTGGGTCATGCAGCAAGACAATGATCCAAAACACACAATCAAGTCTACATGAAAATTGCAAAAAAGCAACAAATTGGAAGTTTTGGAATGGCCTAGTCAAAGTCCAGACCTAATCCCAATTGAGATGTTGTGGCAGGACTTGAAACGAGCAGTTCATGCTTGAAAACCCACACGTCACTGAGTTAAAGCAGTTCTGCATGGAAGAGTGGGCCAAAATTCCTCCACAGCGACATGAGAGACTGATCAACAACTACAGGAAGCATTTGGTTGGAGTCATTGCAGCTAAAGGTGGCACAACCAGTTATTGAGTGTAAGGGGGCAATTACTTTTTCACACAGGGGAATTGGGTGTTGCATAACTTTGTTTATGAAATAAATGAAATAAATATGTAATTGTTGTGTTATTTGTTCACTTATGTTCCTTTTATCTAATATTAGGCTTTGGTTGAAGATCTAATAACATTCAGTATCACAAATATGCAAAAGTAGAGAAAATTTGAAAGGGGGCAAATACTTTTTCATAGCACTGTATATATTATTATCCTATGTGAATTCATAATGTTACCAAATATATATATATTTAAATACTTTTTCATAAAAAAATAAAAAAATAATCTTCCGGAAGTTCTTGTTTGAGATGTTCAGCCTACGATATTCTCTAATGATGTAGTTCAGACGGTGGCATCTTGCCAACTTCATTAAAGAAATACAGCACTGCTGCTACAACGGCAGTCTGAGGGGACGCTAAAATTAGCCACATCTAATTTGGAAAAAACCAAACCTTGTTAGCATATTTTTTATATATACATATATACACACAGTATCTCACAAAAGTGAGTACACCCGTCACATTTTTGTAAATATTTGATATGTGACAACACTGAAGAAATGACACTTTGCTACAATGTAAAGTAGTGAGTGTACAGCTTGTATAACAGTGTAAATTTGCTGTCCCCTCAAAATAACACAACACACAGCCATTAATGTCTAAACCACTGGCAACAAAAGTGAGTACACCCCTAAGTGAAAATTTCCAAACTGGGCCCAATTAGCCATTTTCCCTCCCCGGTGTCATGTGACTCATTAGTATTACAAGTTCTCAGGTGTGAATGGGGAACAGGTGTGTTAAATTTGGTGTCATCGCTCTCACACTCCCTCATACTGGTCACTGGAAGTTCAACATGGCACCTCATGGCAAATAACTCTCTGAGGATCTGAAAAAAAGAATTGTTGCTCTACATAAAGATGGCCTGGGCTATAAGAAGATTGCCAAGACCCAGAAACTGAGCTGCAGCACGGTGGCCAAGACCATACAGTGGTTTAACAGGACAGGTTCCACTCAGAACAGGCCTCGCCATGGTCGACCAAAGAAGTTGAGTGCACGTGCTCAGCGTCATATCCAGAGGTTGTCTTTGGGAAATAGACGTATGAGTGCTCCCAGCATTGCTGCAGAGGTTGAAGGGGTGGGGGGGTCAGCCTGTCAGTGCTCAGACCATACGCCGCACACTGCATCAAATTGGTCTGCATGGCTGTCATCCCAGAAGGAAGCCTCTTCTAAAGATGATGCACAAGAAAGCCCACAAACTGTTTGCTGAAGACAAGCAGACTAAGGACATGGATTACTGGAACCATGTCCTGTGGTCTGATGAGACCAAGATAAACTTATTTGGTTCAGATGGTGTCAAGCGTGTGTGGCGGCAACCAGGTGAGGAGTACAAAGACAAATGTGTCTTGCCTACAGTCAAGAATGGTGGTGGGAGTGTCATGGTCTGGGGCTGCATGAGTGCTGCCGGCACTGGGGAGCTACAGTTCGTTGAGGGAACCATGAATGCCAACATGTACTGTGACCTACTGAAGCAGAGCATGATCCCCTCCCTTCGGAGACTGGGCCGCAGGGCAGTATTCCTACATGATAATGACCCCAAACACACCTCCAAGACGACCACTGCCTTGCTAAAGAAGCTGAGGGTAAAGGTGATGGACTGGCCAAGCATGTCTCCAGACCTAAACCCTTTTGAGCATCTGTGGGGCATCCTCAAACGGAAGGTGGAGGAGTGCAAGGTCTCCAACATCCACCAGCTCTGTGATGTTGTCATGGAGGAGTGGAAGAGGACTCCAGTGGCAACCTGTGAAGCTCTGGTGAACTCCATGCCCAAGAGGGTTAAGGCAGTGCTGGAAAATGATGGTGGCCACACAAAATATTGACACTTTGGGCCCAATTTGGACATTTTCACTTAGGGGTGTACTCACTTTTGTTGCCAGCGGTTTAGACATTAATGGCTGTGTGTTGTGTTATTTTGAGGGGACAGCAAATTTACACTGTTATACAAGCTGTACACTCACTACTTTACATTGTAGCAAAGTGTCATTTCTTCAGTGTTGTCACATGAAAAGATATACTCAAATATTTACAAAAATGTGAGGGGTGTACTCACTTTTATGAGATACTGTATATATGTAAACTCAGACTGTTGAGGCTCCTCCTCTGCCTCCCCCCCATCTACCTCTTCACACTCATCTTCGTCATCTACAGACAGAGGGATATGGAAGTGAGAGATAAATGTCTGACAAACAGCAAAGCAAGAACTACATACACTGCCCATGGAAAGCTTAATATAACTTTCACCTAGCCTGTTTTCAGATCAATAAAGATGACAGCCCGGAAACAAGGAAAGGAAACCACACAAGACAATTGAGATGCGCCCCACCCTGCAGGGGCAGACAGAAAGAGACAATAAGATGCTTCACTACCAACTCTTCCTCTTCCTACCTGAGATGAAGTCAATGCTATGCAGGGCCCTGCCCTCTCTCCAGAAGTTAACAGTGTAGTGATCCATCGCCTCATATCCACGCTCCATCTTCTCCAGGTGGGAGGTGCTCGACGCCTCCCCAATCCTGACACACACACACAGGGAGAGAGTCAGGCTTTACCTTATTGTGTATAGTTTTCAGAGATATGTACATAATATGGTACATGAAATACACTTTGTTCCATCAACATGTGTACTCACCTTTTAAGGAAGTATTTTACAGTCGGTAAAACAAAGAAATGGAAAGGGTTTCCTGATTTATGTGAAAAGTTGAATCAGGATTCAAGCCTGAATGTTGAGGGAGAGTGTTTGTGTCAGTCACCTGTAAGAAGACGGCCATCTCTGGTTCCTCCATGGTCTGTATGCCTGTCTCTACGGTCTTACAGCTCAGCTCCAGGTGCTCTTTATACTTCATGGTTAAACCACGGATGTAGTTAAGCTTCTCTTCCTGCTCGGCCGCCACCTTAGAACTTAAGTCCCTCTTCCTCTCCTCCAAGATGGAGTACAGATGGTCAAACTTCTCACACAACTGGGACTTCTGCCTCCTGACATTCTCCTGTGCGCAGGAAACCACACACACATGGACGGACACACACACAAAAGCATTTTCTCCCTTTCCGTGCCTAGTGAACATGACCCAGCTCTGCATGGCAATCCTGGGTAACACCACCACGGGTGACACAGAAGGGACTGGAGCCGCTCCAGCTTCCTCCCCAGTACAGTTGTTACTAGCTCATCAACTCCAGTGTGTGTGTGTGTGTGTGTGCCTGTGTGTGTACATCATGGGTGTCCGCTCTCTCCACATCAATTATCCTCCTGGTTTCTCAGTGTGAGAGAGAAAAGGCAGAATACTTTGTGTGTTTCTTGGTATGTGTGTCTCTGTAACCGTATTAGTTTAGTTTTGTGGGTGATAGAAACAAACAGACTTCGATCTCATTTTTTTATGGGGGCGGGGGGGGGGGGCTGAATACAGTAACATCCTGGTTTCAGTTGGCTGGCTGTGTGAGTGAGCGACAGACAGAGACAGGTGCTGCCACACTGAGCCAGTCACCTCTATGGTCTTGCAGGTCTCCTCTAACTGACTGATGATGCCCTGGATCCTGTCGTTGTTCCCCACCATCATCGCTATCCCGTCAGTCAACTCAGTCTGGGGGCCGCAGCACACACACACACACACACACACACACACACACGGAGCCAAAACGAATCAGTCACTGAGCGAGTTGCAATGCACTGACATATGCGCAGGAGGCAACTGTCCCATTTGACCTACTGTACATCTCTTGAAGAAGATGAATATTTTCCTACATCAGTCAGGAGCATACAGCAGACAGTTAGGTCCTCACCTTCTGTGTCTGGTAGGTGCTTTTGAACGGCGCCACCTCACAGTCCTTGTGGGCTCCAAACACCTGGCACATGGAGCAGGTGGGCACGCTGTGGGTCACACAGTAGATGTTGATCTGCTCGTCCTCGTGCTCTTGGCACATGGCCCGCTCCTCCGTCCTCTCTGGGGCCGCTGGTGGAGGGGGGAAGGAGACATGCTGAGACTTCCAACACTAGGGGTGCATCTTACTGTAATAGTTTAGTGGCTTCCTCTCCTGATCAGTTTCCTTCCACTGGCTGTTATGATTCAGGCTGCCTGCCCATGATAACTGAACACCCCATCATTCAGTCATAAGGTCATGTTAGGTAACGTCACATCCTAAGCATCTGTACAAACAGTATCTAAATGGAGTGCTGCGTGTGGCATACCTTAGTTATTAGTCACCCTTCCTCCCAATGCGCGCACGCACACACACACACACTCACTCACACACACACACGTCGGCTGGGAGTATATCATTGTGTGACTCGGACCAGAAACCTCCTATCAACCAAATCACCCCTCTGACTCACTGTGGGACCATGGGTTAATAAGGGCACCAGCGGTTGAGTGCTTTAAGCACTAAAAAATACACAATAAGCAAGTGTCCCTCTTCTTCTCTATCGAGCTAGTGAATGTCCTCAAACACACAGAGCACCCCTCACCTCCATTCCACTCCTCTCTATGTCGAGAGAAAGAGTTTTGTCTCATAAATAAAGTCTAAAGCGTTAAGCGTGATGTCGGGTGAAAGGACAGTAGAGAGCTAGATTACATTGCCTCAGGGTTCCTATTCTTCAAAGCAACGCATTCATCCCATGTATTCTTATAGCAGCAGACATCAAAGATAAGATGACACTCTCACTACAAAACGCTGACACTTAGCTCATTTTAGCTAGCGGGAGTTAAATATAAACAGTAATCCTTCATGTAAATGTGATGTTTGTGATCTACATACTTCCTTGACTGTATTAAGCTCCAGCTGTTGTCATCGCTGTGGCTCCTGGAGGGAGAACATCTGATTGAAGGACGTCATCTACTGTATTTATTTATTTATTTATCAACACTATTTTATGATCTACTACTAGTCACGTTCACCAGCCACCATGTGTCTTTATAAGGCAGCCTGGAATACTGGTACACAACATTTACATTTTAGTCATTTAGCAGACGCCCTTATCCAGAGCGACTTACAGTTAGTGAGTGCATACATTATTTTTTTATTTTATTTTTTTATACTGTCCCCCTGTGGGAATCGAACCCACAACCCTGGCGTTGCAAACGCCATGCTCTACCAACTGAGCTACATCCCTGCCGGCCATTCCCTCCCCTACCCTGGACGACGCTTAGCCAATTGTGCGCCGCCCCATGGGTCTCCCGGTCACGGCCGGCTACGACAGAGCCGGCGAGAATAGTAGTTAATATTGTAGAAAACATTCAGTACGAGTGGCACCAGGAGTTTTTCCAGAGGACATGAGATGACCAGTAAAGATCGGGGCCCAGCTTTGTCTTGGTCAGGTGCCAGGTCATGTAGTGAGGACTCAGGAAAAATAACACATTTCAACACTGGAGTTTCAAAACTGGAGTTTCAACATGTTTTCAATGTAGGTTGTATGTAGTTTTTCAGAGAAGAAAATCTCACATTGCTATCATTATAATTCATATTTCACTGTTCAATGCCCTAACTGACCTACTTTTACAGTTCACTGTTCCGTCTTCTTGTAAGTAATTCACGGACATATTGGAAGTAGTCTTAGAGCCTGGTAATGTAACAAGATGAGTGAATAAGGTAAGGATAAGGTAATTACACATAGAAATGCATCTTCGCCGAAACTCACAAAATTGAGTAACTGGATGTTTGTATTTAGTCTGTGGTACAGTAGGATAATGCAAGTTGTGCCTGTTATGGTAGGAGGTGAGTGGGGGTAGTGGTGGTGGGGTAGTAGGATGGTAGGTAGTAGATGATTGGTGGGTGGTGGTAGTTAGTAGGTGTGGTGGGGTGGGGTGGTTGGTGAGGGTGGTGTTGGTGTGTAGTGGAGGTGGGGGTGTGGGAGGTGGGTTGGTCGTGGTAGTGGTAGTGATTGGTGGTGGGTTGGTGAGTTGGTGGGTAGTAGTGGTTGTGTTGGTGGGGGTGGGTGGTGATGGTGGTGGGTGGTGGGGAGATGATGGTGGTGGTGTGATGTGTGTTGGTGTGTAGTTTAGTGGTAGTAGTGAGGTGGTGGTGGTGGTGTGATGGTTAGTGGTTAAGTGATAGTAGTGAGGGTGTGGGTAGTGGTAGGTAGTAGTGATGGTGTGTGGTGGTCGTAGTGATGTGGTTTGGTGGGTGGTAGTAAGTGATGAATGGTGTTAGGATGGTGGTGGTGGGAGTGATGGTGATGGTGGTAGTGATGGAATTGTGAGGTGGAGGTGATGGTGGTGATGATGGTGGTAGTGTGGTGTGTGGTCGTGGCGTATGTGGTGTGGTACGGGTTGGGTGGTTGGTGTTTGGGGGTGGTGGGTGTGTGGTGGTGGATGGTGGTGTGGGTGTGGTAGTAGTGATGTGGTGGTGGTATGTGAGGTGGTGGGTGTGGTGTAGTGATGGTGGTGTCGTGGTGATGGTGGTGGTGGTAGTGTGGTGGTGGTAGTGGTGGTTTGGTGTGGTGCGGTAGTAGTGGAGGTGGTGGTGGTATGATGGGTGGTTGGTGGTAGTGATGGTGTGGTGGTGTGAGTTGGTGGAGTAGTGGATGGGGTGGTGGTGTTGCTGGTTAGGGGTGTGCTGGGGTGGTGGTGCTGGTGTGGGGAGTGATGGGGTGGGTGGTGGTGTGATGGTGGTGGTAGTGAGGTGGTGGTAGTGAGGGTGTGGTGTGTGGTGGGGTGGTGAGTAGTGATGGTGTGTGGTGGTCGTGTAGTGTGGGTGATGTGTGTGGTGGTGGTGTGATGGGTGGTGGTGAAGTGGGGTGGTGTGAAGTGATGTGTGGTGGTGGTGGTGGTGGAGTGATGGTTGTGGTGGTAGTGGGTGGTGGTGGTGGTAGTGATGGTGATGGTGGAGGTGGTGTGTGTCTGAGACAGTGGCTACTTGTTTTATAATTACTATTTTAAATTATTACTGTAACAAGTACTGTACTGTAACAAGCTAATGAGTACATGGAGAAAATGGTTTCCCCCCCAGTTTGCTCATCTGTTCATGTACCTTGGCTGGAAAGTGAAGTACAGACACCGGAAGTATAATTTTTCCTTTGGACTCCTATAGTATACGACTCTCTCACCTGGTGGACTCCAGTTTTAACATGTTGATGATGTTCTCCACCAGCAGGTTCCTCTGGAGCCCGTATACCCCATGGCGGTCCAGGACCACCTTGTGCCTGCAGGACAGGCACCGGAAACGGCCACCGGAGGTCACTGACCCCCCTCTGGTTTAGAGGTATGGGTTGGAGGCCTAGACAGGATAGAACAGACAGGGGCATAGTCAAATGTAGACCAAATGTAATACCTATTATTGTCTATGCCTAATATTTCATATCTCATACTGTAGTCACATTTGAGGCTACACAAAATGACATGGTTGTAGCTCAGCTGGTAGAGCACGGTGCTTGTAACGCCAGGGTAGTGGGTTTCGATTCCCGGGACCACCCATACACAAATAAATGTATGCACGCATGACTATAAGTCGCTTTGGATAAAAGCGTCTGCTAAATGGCATATTATATTATGTTATTGAACACTGGATTGGATCATGGGAAACAACAACAACAAGTTAAAATAAAGCACAAAATGAGAACAGTGCAGACAATCCGCTGTACATAGCCTAGGGGCCTAGACAATAAACAAACAAAAACAATATCCCTGATATACAGTAAAACTAGTTGTTATAGATAGACTAACAAATAATATAGATTAAACACGGTTTAATCTATAGGTCTACCCTAAAATACCTAGCTATTACTTACGTTATTGCAGGCTTACATTACCTGAAAGATATCATTGGCACACTTTCTACACAGGTTGTGTTGACACGGTAAAATTACCACTGGTTTAGTAAACGTTTCCAGGCAGATGGGCCAAATCAGCTGCTTCTCCAAATTGTCCATGACGTTTCTCTTCTGATACACACCCACTCACTCCGTTAAGACGTTAAAATAGTGTCAAATTAATAATAAGCAACGGTTAATTCGGCATTATAACGTCCCAAGCCGCTTATTTCAGAATAAAATTGAAAAGTAGGCCCACGGTAATTGCTCCGGTTCAAGCTGTTCCTCATACGGAGTATAGCGTGGCACCCAAACCGGCAGCTCGAGCTGGTGTCAGGGCTGTTTTTAGAAAGTGTCAGGTCAAAGGTTGCAATGTTTACTTGCCCATATATGAAACTGATACTAGTTAGGGCTTGGGCAGTTGATGATTCCTCGCAGTTGTCTACAATCTGCCCACATTTAATGTAAAGCTGTGTCATCAAACTGTTAGCCTATATGCAAATATCAATGTATAACAAAAGTGTTTGGGGGTGTGTTGTTCAGGGGAACAACATGAAAATGTGACATAATAGGCTATTTATATTGGCTATGGTAGGGTTGACATTTTGGACACAATTGATGTGTTGATGAGCATTGCAGTTAGTTGGTAATCCTACGGGAGTTCAGTAAAACTACTATAGTGGGCGCCCTGAAACAATGGGGGAAATTACCCTGTAGATTACGGGCATCGACCCCGCTACTTCTCGCATGCTAAACGACCGCTCTACCATTTGAGTTGAATCAAATCAAATCAAATCAAATTTGAGTTGAACAGCGCGGAGAAGATGGCTGCCGTTTTACAGCCCTCTAACCAATTGTACTATTATGTGTGTTGGTAGGGTAGGGTTAAAACCCTAACCCTAACCCCTTGTGATTATGAAATTTGCTAATTATAATCACCCTGTGTCACTGAAGAACAGTGGCATACACACTAACATTATCGTTTGAGTATAAAAGCTGTATAATGTGACAACTTGAGTGTATATGGTTATTTTAAATGGTTTACATTATACAAACCAGTGTATAGAATCTATATATCAGAATCAGATGAGAACAGTATCTCGTGTATGAGACTGTAACAAAACGTACAGATATCTCGCACTGGAAATTGCGCAGGTGCAGATCTAGGAAGGAACGTTCATCCAGTTCATGTTTGAAATACATTCTAACCTTAATCATTGAGATATATTGTAGCCAGAATTTTTCATAAGAATACAAACCAACACATGACTGGCTACAAAGTAATTTCAATGTTTATTTAAAGCATTTAGCCAACAACACTGATTGGGACGGGAAAAATATTGGAGAATGCGGGCATCGATCCCGCTACTTCTCGCATGCTAAGCGAGCGCTCTACCATTTGAGCTAATTCCCCTCATTCGTAAAACGCCAGCTGGTGACAAAGATAAATGCATCAAGCTATTTCGAATGACGTCTTGAATGTAGGTAGCTAGCTAGCTATAATGTTGCCACCTCCCTCTCGCAGTGCAACTTTTTAAGCTGTTAAAATCTAAATAAAATCATATATAATTTTCTTGGTCACATACACATGTTTAGCAGATGTTATTGCGGGCAGTGCTGGAAAAGTGCCCAATCGTCATACTTGAGTAAAAGTAAAGATACATTAATAGAAAATGACTCAAGCAAAAGTGAAAGTCACCCAGTAAAATACTACTTGAGTAAAAGTCTAAAGTATCAAAGGTAGTTGCTAAAATATCCTTAACGTTAAGTATCAAAAGGAAAAGTACGAATAATTTAAAATTCCTTATATTAAGCAAACGTTTTTTACGTTTAGCCAGGGTCACACTCCAACACTCAGACATCATTAACAAACAAAGCATTTTTGTTTAGTGAGTCCGCCAGATCATAGGCAGTAGGGATGCCCAGGGATGTTCTCTTGATAAGTGTGTGAAATTGACCCTTTTCTGTCCTGCTAAGCATTCAAAATGTAACGAGTACTTTAAGGTGTCAGAGAAAATGTATGGAGTAAAAAGTACATCATTTTCTTTAGGAAAATAGTAAAGTAAAGTACAGATACCAAAAAAAACGACTTAAGTACTTTACACCACTGATTGCCGGTGTAGCGAAATGCTTGTCAGAGTAACATAATACTGGCAGCTAGCTTCTATGACACTTTAATTTAGGCAATAGTTAATTACCACCATGTCAACCTTATTAGAAAAGTTCGCTAACGTCGTCACAGCTAGCTTACTTTCAGTCTAGGAATATACAGAGAATGTTCTAGGTTTTAGTAATGGTTGCACACGGCCACAGTATATTTGACATGGCTCATGCTTGCTAGCTCGTAACGTAAAATGTGTCGAATGCGTTTGAAGCGGGATGTAGCTAGCTAGCTATGTGCATATCTCGTTTGTTTTTATAATTCGCAATCTACATATGTGACTGCTAAAATGTAGTCCACTCAAGAGATATTCTTCGACCCTGAGTAATTCATAGCAGAAAGTAAACTAGGACACCAGCCAACCATATATACTTATAAATAGGCCGCTAGTCAGTCATTGCTTGTATCCCCTTCGATAGCTCAGTTGGTAGAGCGGAGGACTGTAGAGGTTATATAGCTATCCTTAGGTCGCTGGTTCAAATCCGGCTCGAAGGAGGACTTTTTTTTTGCTCGCCTGATTTGTGAAACCAGAGCCTAACAACAAACTCAAGTATGATGTGTATGCCTACATGTGTGTAGAACGTAATGTGATTACAAAAAATATGTTGAAGTAACATTTCAAAAAGGGAGGTCTATTGCCACATGACAAAATTCTAAATCTCTCAATCCTTTCACAGCCATACTGGGCCTACTAAATAACAAACACAAAACAATAACAAACACATTGCACACAAACTAACACTAATTCAGAATTTACAAAGTGTAGTCAAGGGGTGGAATGGAGCCCTTCTGGGATCTACCACATCAGGGAATGAATCCCCCTCAGTCCTGGGTTCAAATACTATTTAGGGTATTAAGGAAGTAAGTATTTAGATATTTTTTGTTGTTGAAAATACAAGTTGAATATCGGAATATATTTGGAAATACACTTGGAACGTATTTGGAAAGTATTTGAAAATAGCCTTCTCAAATACACTGACTAAAATACACTCCCATGCATTTAACCGAGGTATTTCAAAATTCCTGTAGGCAGTAGGCTATATTTATAGGGAATTATTTGAAAAACATTTACATTTTAGTCATTTAGCAGAAGCTCTTATCCAGAGCGACCTACAGTTAGTGAGTGCATACATTCTTTTTTTATTTTTCATACCCCCGTGGGAATCGAACCCACAACCCTGGTGTTGCAAACGCCATGCTCTACCAACTGAGCTACATCCCTGCCGGCCATTCCCTCCCCTACCCTGGACGACGCTGGGCCAATTGTGCGCCGCCCCATGGGTCTCCCGGTCTCGGCCGGCTATGACAGAGCCTGGATTCGAACCAGGATCTCTAGTGCCTTAGACCACTGCGCCACTTGGGAGAAAAATACTTTTAAATACTTCCAATAGAAGTAGTTAATTCAGGTCACATTACTTGAAAACACTAAAATACACAGAAAATAAGTATTCAAATAACAAATACTTAAATACACATGTATTTGAATCCAGGTCTGGAATCCCTATGACATCACCAGTCCTCTAATGTCTGCTCTCAGGTGTCTTAGGTATAGGCCCGTCATCTGTCACCAATCAACCCGGTCTTCTCGCTGGCATTGGTTGGTTGCTGTATTATGGGGATGTCGTCAGCATCTGGAGAGGGTAAGATCAATTTATCAGTGCATCAGTTTATGTTACACAGAACTACGAAAATATGGCATATCCTGGAAATAGGCCTACTACAGATGTAGGATCTTAATTTGAGCCAGTTTGCTACAGCAGGAATAATCCTGCAGCAACAGGAAATGTGAATTATTATGTGGATTATAGCTAATGGAAATGTTTTTGTAGGGGCAAATCAAGTCTGATATTTAAAGTAGAAATTACAAACTTTAGAAGCCTTATAAACCTCGAAAATACTACAAGTTTGCATTTCCTGCTGTGCAGGAAAATTCTCAGCAACAAAAGAGTGATCAAATTAAGATCCTACATATGTACACTAACTATAGTACAGCTGCTCATGTTGAGACAGGTATGTCTTGACTGAGGGATGTCTTGACTGTCCTGTTGTGAGGAAGTGATGGCTACCTGCGTCTAGCCTCCTGCCTCCTGCTGCGGGTTGTCCTTTTGGCACCACAGACTAGGCACACTGTGTCACAGCCTGGCTGGCTTGAAGGGCAGTTTTACAACTTTGGTTTAAAGTCCCCTTTAATGACTTCAATTACCCTGGGCTATGCCTACAGTAGTAGGTCCAATTCCTATTGATACATACTCACAATAAATATGTTATCATAAGCAATGTGTTCTGAAGCCAAATACATGAGTAGGCCTTCTCATCATCCCGCTGAGAGACATTGCAGTGAGTGCTGGAAACAAAGGCTATTGTTTCCCTTTAATCGTGAGATGGGGCTAAAAATAACTGCTATGGAAACACATTTAGAGACGTGACTCAGAGGCAGTAATTATCAGTTATGTTGGAGAACTGCAGCAGACATGAAGAAAAAAGCACAGCCCACCTCCCACAGCTAACTGGCACCAAAGCAATGTATCATATCCAAACATCATATCCAAGTCTCTTTAATTTTATTAACTGGCTGACTTGGTGCGTTTGAGAAAACATAATATTCGAAGCTCGTCTATGCCATTCCGCTGTCTTTGTGACTTTGCAGCATCAAATGCTTTCCCTTTAATAGATGAGGAAGTATTGATACGGTAGGAGAGTGATGTAGGAAGAGCTTATTAAGAGGGTTGCTGCTGTTGTTTCAACAGATGGATAATACAACTGAGAACTATAGGCTAATTCTGAAGCAGTAAGAGATAGTGTGTGAGGCTTGCTCAGGGTAGAAGTTGCCCTTAGGCACAGGATCAGCTTACCCTCCCAGAGTCCTTACCTTATTATGTAATATTATGAAAGGCAAAACTGACCTCAGTTCAGTGTCAAGGGGCAACTTCATCCTTCTCAGTGGGGCTCACCTGTCTCTTTGTTACAAAACCCTACTGAACATTGTAGCTGTGAACACCCTCCAGGTGTGTGCTGTTCACCTGTCTCCGTGTCTGTACGGATCTGCTCCTCCAGGTTGTCAGGGGACACGTAGGTGTCGGGGTCCTCCTCTCCATGGGTTTTGGGTTTACACTTCCCACAGCAGCAGTTCAAGCAGCAGCACAGCCAGCAGCAGAAGTAGCAGCCTGTTAGCACGCTACACACCACAAACAGGATGGACATAGACCATTCACTATTAACACATGAACATAGACTAGATTTCCTTTTTCACACACAAACAAACACACACACACACACACACACAATTTCTACCTGGCGAAACCCACCTTTGCCCACCAACTGGAGAGCATGAGATAAGTGTTGACATTCTCCTCTACAATCTGCTGAGCCACATACAGCCCGAGGGAGCCATAGCTGTCGTAGACGTTCCTCTTGGAGACATCTGGCAGGACAGAGTGGGCATTGTTGAGCTCCTTGAATTTCTCGGGGTTCTTGTCTGGATGAAATTTCAAAGCAAGCTTTCTGAATAGAAAAAAAGATTACGAAATTGAAAAGATTACGCACTCCGGAAGGCTTAGCTAGCCAAAATGGCATCTTCTTCATTGTTACTATCTTGTTACTTTATGGTCTTATCTAATGCTTTCAGTAAGAGGCTGCAGTATTATCTCTCATTTCCAAGTTGAGATCCTTTCCCATGTTTCAGTGTGTATCCTGGCATCTTTAAACTCATTCCTGTCTACACTCTCAATACCTGCAGATCACTCTCAATGCCTGCAGATCACTCCCAATACCTGCAGATCAGATCCAGTTAGCAGTCAGCACCTCAGCAACTAGTGACAAAGTTGGGGTGAGAACCCTCATCCCTCACACCCATCAACACACACACCTGCCAGGCATTAGTACATTACTGCTATAAGCACAGTTATAGTTGTAATAGCATGTATAGCTAAATTAAAAGTATTCTAAGTCAGGCTAGAAAATGTGTAAATGTTGTTGACAGACACCATCAAATAAATATAACTACAGTCAGCTTTACATCATTTTTTTTTCTCGCTCTCTCTTTTCTGCTGTAAATTGTAATTTCTCATTAACATTTGATGATGCTCTGAAGCATGTCTGCTTGTTCATTTTTCATGATGCCAACAGGCTCGGAAAATGCCGCTATGATTACATATTCATTAATACCAAACAAGGGCTGCTCAAAAGCTAACCATTTGGATGGTTCCTGAAAGTGAATTCCTATTAGACTAATTAAGAATGACTAATTGTGACGGCACCTATATGAGCCTGAAGTGAATTCATATTATAAGTCATTAGATTCTGACTTACTACTGTACATGTTGGAGTGCCTCTAATGGAAATGTATTGGTGAAATGAGAGAGAAGGCAAGGTAGGTTACAGGATAAAATAGTTATCCTAAACAAAATCTACATCCAAATGTGGAATTACATTGCAAAATATAATTGATAATGGCTTGGGCTATAGCTGAGTGACTTGATCTTGAGTAAGCATCAAAAGCCCCTGTCATAGCAGCTCTCCATGTTGTAGGAAGCCTGTTCTTCTGTTTTATTGTAAGGTTCAGGTACTACTTGTTGTGTGGGCACATAGAAAGTGGGGCTGCCGCCATAATGCTAGGGTCAATTCCCAACGGGTTGTGACAAGCTTCCGAGTACACCCACGCTTGCATGAGGGGGGTACACACACACACACACACACACACACACACACACACACACACACACACACACACACACACACACACACACACACACACACACACACACACACACACACACACAGGAGTCTTTTATAAGGCCTGACCTTATACAACAAGGGGTGACATCTGTTCTGTAGTATTAATATTTTAGTTTTATGGAAGTAATATTGTATTCATGCAGCTGTCTGACAATCACTGGCTGTGATTATAAAAGGCCTTGTAGCAGTCAGTCAGAGTGTCTGTCTGTCTCACAAAGTCTTGTTTTTTGTCTCCTGAAAACCGGCCCATTAAAATCACTTCCACTAACCTCCATAGACAATGGTTGTTACCTGACATTTGTTTGTGCTTTTCAGCACATGTAGCATGGTCACAGATCAATGTATAAACTGCTTCGGTGGAGAAAATGATCTTTGTATATAGAGTTAAATGGATGGAACTTTTCAGTGATGTAATATGCAGTTCAGTTTCTCCATTGAGGCATAAGGTTATCTGTTGTTTGTCTGGTTACTCTACTAACTAGCCCAATGACTCCCAAATTGTGTGTCCTATAGAAACAACCTGATGGTTCAGGGCCCCAAAATGTAAGTGGGTCACCCACTGGTTTAACCAAGCACACAGCTCAAGAAGCGAGGTGAGAGTGTGTGTGTGTGTGTGTACCTGTAGGACTTCTTGATGTCGTCCAGTGTACAGGTATTTTGGAGGCCCAGGACTAGGTAGAGGGCCTCTCCTGAGGTGGACAGGGAACGTTGCCTTTGCTCCGACATATTCTCTCACCATTACCTGCACAACACAGCAACCACAATGATTTTCATATCATTCCTGATGTTGACTATGCGCTTGTTTAGCTGTTCCACTGATCTATCAGTAATGGTATACTGTTCACACAGCATATCTATTCATTATTGATACAACTGTTCTAAATAGTAACACATTTTTTTCCACAGGGATCTACCGTTCAATTGGGTTATCACTATGTTATCTCCAACACTCTATTAGATCCAAGAGTCCCTAAAGACATTTTCAAAATTCATCAGAGAACACAAAAATGAGAGAACCTGTCACCTTACTGTTTAAACATGGACTAAGAACGCTAAAAACAAAACAACAGAACTCAAAAGACTTGACAAAGAGAACTTTTAGCCAAACACATCCTCTGCATTTGTCCACAGCTATTCCTCTTTCTGTGTGACTTTCCCGTTCCTCTCTTTCCTACCTGTTCCTCTGTCCAGGCCGTCAGCTCCAGTGCACCCGTCGTCCCTGGGAGAGGCAGACAGGTCAGTGGAGTCAGGTGTCTGCTCTTTGGAGGACGAGGTCAGCAGATGAGATGAATAAAACATACAGGCAGATAGTCATGGGCTCACGTTTCAGCAGGCCCGGCCGCCAGTGGCCCTAACATGGTTACCTGGAGGTTGGGATGGGGTTTAAAGGGGACTCGGAAGTAGGTCTACTATACTGCAGGATACTGAGGTGTCTGGGTGGAAAGGTAGTAGTGTTAGCTGATTGATGACTTTCTGAGAGGATGGTGAAAGATAAGGTAAAATATTGAACGTAATGCTGTGCTTTTTAGTCTACTATCTTTTTAGTAGGCTTGATAGGATTCCACCATGGTTTTCACAAGGCCTCTGCATTCAGTGACACAACAGTATCACCTAGTGGTAGACAGAAGAAAGGTAGAAAAAAAGTATTGTCCTGCATGAATACTCTTACTCCACAAGATGGCGATATACATGCAGATTTTACAGAGTGACATGACAATGGATAAAAACGTAGGTCGAAAAGGGTTTGCAGGTGGACACAAAGTTTACCATAACAATATGCATTATATTCACCTCAGCTCCATGTATATGAAGACTACAATAATGATAGTAATTGTATCTTAGAATTTAGATTGGGTAAAGTTATCAAACCAGTGATTCTTTCAAGGAGTGGCATATCACAGTTGTAATTTATTGTTTATGGTGTTGAAAGTCCATAGAAAACAATAGATTGGAGTCACATTTTATTGACGGTTTATTTCCTGATCTGCAAGAAGATACTTGTGGCTCCTGGGGAAACAGCAGGTAAGCAGCTCACCTGTATCTGGACTCCCTTCTCTATACTCCGTGTCTCCTGGGCTTGCACACTGACTGGTGTGGCTAAACATGTCTGCCTAGGGACCAATATGAGTGTGCTGCAAGGAGACTGTTGTAGGAATTAATGAAGAAATGCTTTCCTACCCTTTCCCACAGACAGTCACACTCATGGGAGTGTGTACACAAACACATACACATGCACACACACCCACACATGCACACACATACATGTGCACACACACTCATCTAATTTTAGAGTGGTCGAGTGGTTTGTTGAAAACATTTGGTAAAAACTACCAAATCAAAACCAACCTCCACTACACTTTTAGAAATGTGTATGAAAAATGTAGCTTATTAGGCACCACAGCTAAACCCAGTCATTCTCAGTTTATATCTAACCGAATGAGGCTAGATTGGCTTGTCATTGGCTAATGGCGATATGGGGTTCCACTATAATGTGCCTAGCCTTCGCTGAGGGTGAGTGACTGGCTGGTGGAGTGATTTGGCACAATGTTGCTCGGTTGCCTTGAAAAGACACAGGACCTCGTGGCAGGGAGTGGAATTGTGTGGAATTGCATCCAGAGTGCCGTAGAAGAGAGGGAGGGAGGGAGGGAGGGATGGAGTCAAGGAGAGGGGGTAGGCCTACTCACTATGTCCCTCAACTGGCATTCAGCCTGACTGTTGCCATGGTACAGCCCAGGATTGTCCCCCAGCTCTCCCACATAAGGCGGGGGAAAAAAGTATAATTGGAATGTAAGTAGAGGTGGTTTTAGAACAGTGTTTTCAGGGGAGAATTCTGGAATGGAATGGTGTGTTCCTTGACTTCCTGGAAAGAAGGTCTTATTTAGGTCTAGCCTACATTCACACAACCTGACAATAGAGACACACTGGACAATAGCCGCTGTCTGCAAGTAATAGTTGTTAGTAATGGATGTTAGGTCAGCCTGACATTGATGGAGGACAGGAGTAGTATGAGTTCCTCTCTCTCTCTCTCTGATACATTTGTGGGAAGTTCTCCTCCCTACTGAGTGTGACAGACATTCACTGTGATCTCACATGAATATCCCCTGTGTGTATTTGATAGGGGGACTGTTCAAATACTATTCCTACCCCCACACCTGTCTAGGAACAATAAAAAACCTTTCAGATAATCAATGAAGGTAGGGTAGTCAATAAGTCATTTTACAAGTAAGTAGCCTATTATTATTTGTATTATTAATGTGAACTATCAGACACCATAAAGGTTTTATTAACAGATCATAAAACATTTTTGAAGTGTATTCCACTAAATTCCACCATAGCCTCACATTGAAACCTGTTGAGTCCCACTTCTCAAGTAGGCTACAACTGTATGACTCATGCAAGAAATGTAATTACAGGCAATGATGTGGACCGCTCTAGGGCAAACCCCATTGTGGTGGAATACCCTTGTGGAGGTCCGCGCCGTCGGTGATCGACTGCTCAAATCGGTATTGGGGAGCAAACTGGACATTTAGCCAATAGTGTGGCTTGTTACAAACAAAATCTACACCATTGTCCAATCACTATAGATGTGACATTGGTAGCCATGCTGCAATTGGATAAGTTGGACAAGGGCGTCTTGTGCTCTCTCCAACAGCTCCATCTCTGGCAGGTGGTGTTCGAGAGCAGACTAATGTTTAGGAAGGTAGCTAGATACTTAAAGGAAATCAATTTACCTTGGTTCACATTTTTGCGTGATGTGCCAATATTTTTGCCGGACGACAGGTTTGGGTGAGATGGACGTCGGGTTTCCGCTTTAGCCAGCCACTTTCTTTTCAAATCACACAGTGCTGCATTGAGTGAGACGGATGTGTGGTGAATTACGGGTGCTATTTATGCTTGCATTGAGAAAAAATATACATATCGATAGTTTCTTCTCGCACCGAAAACCTTGAATGAATAACGTTACCACAGAACTACTGTAAAGGCAAGTGCTCCAATATGTTCCTCGTATGATTCCTTTTACTTAATCCACTAGTGCTGTACATCCATAGCTGTTTTTTTTTTTTAAAGTGGTCTTGCCTTTTTGTTTTGATTTGGAGACTCAATGCGGAGCCATATCACGATGAAGCACGTCTGTGAGACGTTTGGGAGAAAATAATGAGGCAACGTTTTTATGAAGATAGAGAAAATATAGAGGCCTCGTCCTTTGAGGGCCCAAATCTGGGTGGAAAAATGAGCAGCATGAATAAAATCCCGGGATAGAATGGGAACAAACGAGACTAGCAGCATAGACAATGAATCAATGACGGCGATTTTGGCAAGTTTAAAGTCCCCTAGAACAAAAATAAGTAGCCTTCCTTACTGGTGAAGTATTACGACGGATTCCCTCCACACAATATATGAGGGATACCGCTCTGCAATCAACCCTCTTATTTTCCTGCAATTCCTTTTCCATTTGATCAATTAATTTCCCATTTATTTTTGATTATATACAACAACAACAAAAAAAATCTGGATCAAGCTCTGACTTTGTTCAATGGAAGTATGTTATCAGCTGCCGGTTTTGCCTCTAGACAGGCCGGTTCCTAAGCATGTCCTCAGCCGGAGAGGAGCCATCAGTTTCAGTTTCAGCTCCAGCTCGTCTCTCTTCGGCGCTCCTGATCCAAGACAGCTGTCACAGGTAATGCCTCATTACTTAAACTGGATCGGTTTCAAATGAACTGTCTCGGCTCTCCATAATGACACTACATAATCAATTTGATGACATGTCATGCACTACCTAGTAACCAGCTGTCGGATCGCTTCTTTCAGATTCATATGAGTGGTATGGGAATCCTGCAGATGGTAGCCTATCAATTTGCAATGTAACTCAAACTGTACAAAATGATCAGTAAAAAATTTCAAGTGGTTAAATGCAGTCACTCTTCAACTCTGAATGTATTATTAAGCTACATTGTCTGAATTGTTGCAACGCCTTCAAGTGTTAGTTGCAACTTGCAACAGCTGTCTACTTGTTACTTTGTGCGCCAAGGAACGTGTTGCCTGGATACTTTTGTTGGTATTCGATCTAGTGTGTTCCAGTCTCGACACATTTAACAGACTCGCGTTAAATAGGTGAGCCACATTGGCTACTCCTTGATTTCTCATCACATTGCGCAGTAGGCCTATTAATGGCATAGTTGTGCAATGTAGCTTAGGCTCATGAGTTACAGTATCTTGTTAAGCAAACTTTGGCGCAAGGAAGCCAATAATGCCAATAAATATATCAAATTGTATTGGTCACATACACGTGTTTAGCAGATGTTATTGCGGGTGTAGCGAAATGCTTGTGCTTCTAGCTCCGACTGTGCAGTAATATCTAACAATTTCACAACATATACCTAATACACACAAAACTAGTAAGGAATGAATTAAGAATATGTACATATATGGACGAGCGATGTCAGAGCGGCATGGACTAAGATACCGTAGAATAGTATAGAATACAGTATATACATATGAGATGAGTAATGCAAAATATGTAAACATTATTAAAGTGGCCAGCGTTTCCAGTCTGTCTATAGGCAGCAGCCTCGAATGTGCTAGTGATGGCTGTTTAACAGCCTGATGGCCTTGAGATAGAAGCAGTTTTTCAGTCTCTCGTCCCAGCTTTGATGCACCTGTACTGACCTCGCCTTCTGGATGATAGCGGGGTGAACAGGCAGTGGCTCGGGTGGTTGATGTCCTTG